GTTAAAATTAATCATTCATAATTTATGTTGTTGTTTAGGTAAAAACTTTAACACTGGAAAAACCATCTAGAAATAAGTAAAAATGTCTTAAATTAACTGTATTAACCCTTAATTTGAGTAGGTAAATGATGTAGTTTGCCAGTGGAATGAATATTTTTACTCTTAAAAGTGATATAGTCAGATAATATGCACTTGAAATAAAACAATGCAACGGTGTTTTCTCATTTTAAATGTAAATTGTCTTGTTCTATTAGCAAAATTTCTTTTTTACCCCCTCAATTCAAGAACAAATGCATTTATTTTAAGAAAAAAATGACTTATCTAGATTTTGACTTTTTCCAGTGAAATGAGTAAATTCATGGCATGTTATAAGATAAAATATGGGTTAATTTTATAATTTATTTCATAAGTTTGCTCTTTTCTGCACTGTTATGTTTAGCCAGGAACCAATGTTCATACTTGTGTACTACTACGTTGAAATTAATAGATGCTACACTATGAAGCTAGATTACAAAGCCTGATTCAAGCGTGTAAAGAACCTCTCCTCATGACTAATGAGGTATTATTATTTGTTTTATTGATAAATCTGTTTATACTTATGCAGCGCAGCATCCTGCTCTTATTTGTACTTGTACACTCGGTTTGAGCTGATATATATCTATTTGTGTCTGTACAGTTCTCACGGCATAAAAGTATGAACGCTATAAAGAACCTAAATGGAGTTTCATGTTGAACGACATGAGAGAAAAGATGAAATAAAAACCAGTTAAAGAGAAACTGATCTGTGTCTGTCGTGACGAGAGTTACAGGGACAGTACGTTGCACGACCTTACATAAACATATCACCAGAATTATTGACAATTAAGAGGACCACTTATTTTGACGATCCACCTGGAAAAAGAACATCCTGCATTATACCTTTAATCTCAAGTGCCTTTGTTGTTCAGCCGGAAAATAATGAAAGATCTCAGGATATTTACCTCTGAATAACTGGAAAGAAAAAAAAAAAAAGGTTTTACAGTGACCTAGTCACAGTCTCATTTTAAGCATGACGTAAAAAAAATCCACCTAGACTTAAAAACCTTTCAATGTGGCTAAATTGAAATATACATAGATAGTGGATCTCATATTTTCTACATTTTTTGGAATTTAACAGTTATTGCAAATACTTGATGTTTTTTTCCCACCAATAATAGCTCAGCAGGTTTTTGATCCTGGGAGTAAAACTTTATTTTTGCTTTTTTTTAAAGGCAGGTAAACAGACTGTTAGAGTACTGTAATCTACTCTTGAGGAATTAAAAGCATGGATAATTTTCTCCAGCTCTGGTCTAGGAACTCCTCTAGAACCTCTGGAGATTATTTCACAAGGAGGGCTTTCTTTAAAATGAAGAATATTATAGAAAACAGTGAACATCCCCTTCATCTGTTAGTTAAAAACCAACAGAGCGTCTTCAGTAAGAGGCATCTCCCGCTCTACTGTCAGACAGACCTCTACAGAAGATCCTTCCAGCCTACAGCATCAACATTTGCAACTGGTGGATGCATAATGTCCTTTCAAATTTTATGAGATAATTCTAGCAATAAAACATGTCAGCCAAATTTTGGAGACATAAACAGTGTGATAAAAAAAAAAGATCAGATCCATAAAGTGTATTAAATACAGAATGAAAGACAAAAATTAATTAAGGGTACCATGAAAACATACAAGGAAACCTTGTTAATGAAGGCTAGAGCTTAAATGCATGATTTATTGCTGAATCAATGCATTTTTATTGCATTTACATCAGTGATGACTGAAAAAAACTGAGGACTGGCTTGAGTAGTCTGGAGGCAGTGCAGGATGAGGCCAGAGACAGAGGCCAATGAGAAGGGCAGGGCGAGCACAGGAAAGCAGATGGTACACAAAAGCAATGAAGCTAAACTCAATAGGGCAAGGATAAGAAAATCTGGCAAAGAGTGATAAAAAGAGGCAGGTATTAACAGAAATAATCAAGGCTCGAAGCAATGAGGTGATAAGGAGAGACGCAGGTGCATCTAATCACTGTATGAAATAGAGAGAAGCAGAACAAGGAAGCCAGACCAAAACAACAATGCATGCAGAGTTCATGATACTAATGGAGTTTAAAAACAATCCATTATGTCCTTCCTGTTCTCTTTGTGACACGTCCTAATGTTCACACCTTCAGATGTTTGGGGTTGTCCATAGCGTTCCTTGACAGTGACATTGCTAAGGCACCAATTTAGTGCTACTTGGTCCTAATGTAATTTCCCATTGGGAACCTACTAGCACTAAATTGCTAACTGGTTAGCAAGATGCTTCCGACAAACTGGCCACAACCAAACTTACTTGCGAACCTTTCGCCACAACAATCCCACCCCCTTGATAATCGACCGATCTTATTCACTTTATTCACTCGAGTAAAGTCGGGCACCACTCAGGAGACTTCGGAAATGCAACGGTTGGAACAGCCACTTCCCTACGAATTCAAGTGTTCCTCATGGGTACTTTCTGGGTGTTTCCAGTGGCATTGGATGTTGGAGTTTCCCCAAAAAAATTGTTGGGGGTTGGTGGTTCAGGCTTCGGATTTCAGTGTTGTTTTGTCCTTTGGCAAGATACCTCACCTGCATTGCCTACTGCTGGTGGTTAGAGGACCCGGTGGGGCCAGTGTACAGCAGCCTCACTCTATCAGTGAGCCCCAGGGCAGCTGTGGCAACAATGTAATTTGCCACCCTCTGTGTGTGGGTGAATGACTGAACGTAGTGTA